AGCTGGAGAGATGGCTCAGCAGTTAAGAACACTGACTGTTCTTGCAGAAGACCCAGGTTCAAATCCCAGCCCAGCACCCACATGGCAGCTAACAAGTGTCCGTAACTCCAGTTCCAGGGATCCAGCATCCTCTTTTGTCCTCTGTGGGCATTGCACCACATGGGTGCACTTACCTACACAGGGCGATACACACATACATGTAAAATAAAAATAATAAAATATTTTTAAAAATTTATATTTTTTATGTGTATGAATGTTTTGTCTGCGTGCCAGTACACCCATCTATGCAGTGTCCTCAGAGGCCAGAAGGGGGTGTCAGATACCCTGGAACTGGAGTTATGGATGGTTGTTAGCTGCCATGTGAGTGCTGGGAGCCAAACCTGGATCCTCTGCAAGAACAGTCAGTGCTTTTAATCACTGAGCCATCTCTCCAGCCCCTCTGTTGGAACCCAGGGCCTCCTGCATGTTACCAGAGTGCAGTACCACTGATCTTCACCCAGCCCTAGGCCTGTGGCATAAGTTTTTTTCTCATGTTACTTGTGTGACTAACACTCAAAATAGCTTTGAATTACATTGCGCAAATTTTCCTGCTTAAATGCTTTGATAATCATAATCAAGGGCAGTCCTCCTGCTTCAGCCTAAGGTGCTGGGATTACAAGTGTGTGCTGCCATGCCCAGATCTTTTTTTCTTTCTTTTTTTTTGTCTTTTTGAGACAGAGTTTCCCTGTAACCTCAGCTGGCCTGCTGGAACTTGCTATGTAGACCAGGCTGGCCTTGAACTCACAGAGATCCGCCCACCTCTGCCTCCCAAGTGCTGGGATTAAAGGTGTGTAAAGGCTCCAGATCTTTTTTCATGTAGAGAATTCTGGTTTCTGTGATACAGATGAGGCCTTACATATTTAATATAGTAATCTCTTGGGTAAATGGAAGAGAAATAAGCTCCTAGACCAACATGACTTTTAGTTTCTGTACAATATCAGCTCAGCATAGTAAACTGGGAGACTTTTTTTCAAAGTTAACGGCACAGCTAAGATTTCCAAAAATCCAGATTAGCTAGACATACTTCTTTGAAAACACCAATGCTCGCAGTAGGTGATACATTGGTTGCAACACCAGCTTTTTCAAGTTCTGTAGTCATCTGAATAAAACTATGATCTGACTCACTCCATCCAAAAACACAGGGGCTAGAGAGATGGCTCAGAGGTTAAGACTGCCGGCTGCTCTTCTGGAGGACCTGAGTTCAGTTCTCACCACCTACATCAGGCAGCTCACAATTACCTGTAATTCCAGTTCCAGGAGATCCAACCCCCTTTCCTGGCCTCCTCAAGCACCTGTACTCACAGGTGACAGGTTGCCTTGTCCTTCCTTTACCAGAGCTAAAGAATGACCCCAGTCTAGTCACTGGTGTGTGTCACTGGCCTTTGCTGTGTTGAAGGTGGCTGGTGTCTGTGGTGTCTCTTCCTCCCACTTTTACCTCTTAACTCACTCATCCTTGGGAGCCATGTGCTCTGAGATCCTGGCACCCTTGAAACTGCTCAATTCTGTGTGGACTTGCACCCCAGCAGCAGAGAGCAAAGGCCTGAGGGTCTGTACAGAAGCCCAGGGCCCTCTTTGGGAGCTGGGTTAAGATCCAGTGACATGGCTTCTCCATCCATCTTTGTGGGTGAATATGTCACCCCCATTCCCTGGGTGGTCCTTCAAGTCCCAGAATTGAGAGCTGATCCCTCCTCAAGCTAGTGCTCCTCTAACCAGAACTTTCTAGCTGTTGGTTGGAAGACATGGCACCTATCACACTTTTCAGTAATTTAGAACAGAAGTGTCCTTGGCCCTGCAGCCAGGGTGAGATGGTGGGAAATAGCCCTGCTTAGAGTACCCACTCTGCCAGCCTCCTGTGGGGTTGCCCTAAGTTCTTCTGTGGTTTGTCTTCTGTTGCTGGGGAGGGTGGCAGCATCCAGCTCAGGGAAGTGACTGAGTCACCTGTCAGCTATAGCCAAGGTTGCTGCAGAAGGGGGACAGGTCTCAGGGTGGTCCCCAGCCTGAGTTCAGGCCACTGCATTCCTGGATGCAGGAATCTGGCCTGCCTATTCCTCTAGGAGCCTCAGGACTAGGCATGAGTAAGTGAGGGTCCAGCCTCGCTGTGGTGCTTGGCCCCCATCCATGTGGGGCTGTTCTGTGCTTTCTAGGATACTAAGCAGTATCCTGGAATCTGTCCAAGGTGGGATTAGAGTACTGTAAAACCCTAAGCAAGGTGCTGTGCATGCAGTGCAGAAGACCTGTTGGGCAGCCTCACTGGGCCCCAGAGGTCTGACTGGATGTGGTCACTGATTCCACCCCAGTGATATTCCAGTGTCTGTCACCAATCCCAGGCTCAAGTTCCCCTTCCTTCCTCATGTGGTCCTAGGGAAGCCCTAGCCTTGTTCCCATCACCATTGACAAGGAAGGCAAGGAATGTTGTCAGTGCCCAGGAATAGGGCTGGGAGAGCTGGGCCCAGCCTGAGCCTGGCCTAGGCCTAAGCTCTTTACTTGAGGCCTGAGAATTTGGCCTCAGTAGGGATGAGATGTGTTTCTCTGTGTCTCTGAGACCCTTCCAGCCTGTGGGGTTCTAAGCAGTGGCATTTCTGGAGCAGGTAGAGGTGGGGCTATTTAGTGAGGGTAATACTTCACTTTCCATGTGTTTGTCTATGTCTGGAGTCAAGTCTTGGCCTCAGAGCCTGCCCTCCCTCTCTGCCCCACCCCCAGTGCTGGTAGCTCCAGGCTCACGTGCCCAAGTTCTCCTGTTCTTGCAGGAAGGCGAAAACAATGACAAGTTCTTCACCCACCCCAAGGATGCCAAAGCGCTGGCGGCCTACCTCTTCGCACACAACCACCTCTTCTACCTGATGGAGCTGCTCACCGCCCTGCTCCTGCTGCTGCTGTCACTATGCGAGGCGCCGGCTGTCCCTGTGCTCCGGCTCGGCATTTATGTGAGTGTCTTGGGGCTGCAGGGTTATGGCTCTCTGGGGACCAGATAAAAACCTGAAAGGGAGCATTCTGGAAGCATGAGAGAAGGCATGTTTGTTCTTCTTCCCCAGTGGGCAGAGGTGTGTCTTCTGTTTCTGGGTAGCTCATGGCTCCCCTGCTGGGACAATCAGGCTGGGGCCTCTCAGAGCTGGTGTTCACTCAGAGGCCTCATCTGGCCACCCTGTGGTCAGGCCCACAGCAGTCCACATGGATGAGGCTCTGTCAAGGGTTTTCCCTGGGTCTTTGTCCTGTCTACATAGGGAGTGAGGGCTGTAGAGCTCACTGTCCAATTAGCAGCCCTCTTAGATACAGATTTCAATTCAGTTCTGGTGTTTTCCCCTTCTGCTTCGTTTTCAAGCCTCATTTTGCTTCCTTTATGCCTCTTATAGATCTTGTATGAAATAGAAGCAGTTCTTCCCAGAACAGGGCTATATACAAGATTTTATCTTATCTTTTTTTCTCCTTCTTGAACCTCAGCCCCTGCCTAACTTTCCACCATGTGGCCCTGCATATCTATTTCTTGAATGTCAAGTTTATTCTTAGCCATCTGGGAAAAACTCCTTCTCTAAGCCTCTGTCTGGCATCTTGGGGTTTGGTAGCTGGCGTGTATGTGTTTGTGTGTGTGTGTGTGTGTGTGTGTGTGTGTGTGCATGTGTGTGTGTGTGTATGAGCATGCATGTGTATGTGCATACATGTATGTGCGTAAGCATGTACACATATGTAAATGCTTGTATGTGTGTCGGGAGAAGTCCTGGGAGGTGACAGGACACATAGGGAGGAGGCGCTGTGAGTGGGCTCCTGAGGACAGTGTTTACTTTGTGGCTGCAGGTCCATGCCACTCTGGAGCTGTTTGCCCTCACAGTGGTAGTGTTTGAACTCTGCATGAAGTTGCGGTGGCTGGGCCTCCACACCTTCATCCGGCACAAACGCACCATGGTCAAGGTAATGTGTCTGTCTGTCTATCTCATTGCAATGTGTTCTCCCAGATTCCTGTCAAGCCTTTGTCTTTGATTCCAGCTATAATCCCCCTGGGCCCAGTCTGTGCTCAGGAGTGTGGTATAGGGTCCTCTCTCCCTGCATTTCCAGCCTCAGGTCTGGTGGGCTGTTTCACACATGCCAGGTGCCTGCGTGGTCACCTGAAGGGAAATGCCTTGCTTTGCCCATTTTCCATCCAGCCAGATGGAGAAAGAGTAGGGTCTCGGGTCCAGGGAGTGGGGTTCAGACCCAGCTATGTGACCTCAGTGGAACCATTCAGGGTGGCATGTGCATATGTCTAAGAGTATGTCCCCAAGTGAGCTGAGACCTTGGGAGCTTCCTGCTTCGATGAGGGCTGCAAGGAAAGTGCCAGTGGTACACACAGGCAGGTAGTGGCTTCACTATGCGGTACCTGCAGAGCAGCAGCTGGAAGGGTCCATGCATGCTACTCCCTGGGGCCAAACATCTGTAATGCAGCTGGAGGGCTCTCTTGCTGTTGGTGTTGGAAGGGAAGGAAAGGGAAGGGAAAAAAGGATGGAGTCCATGTGGGCTGTCCATCAGTTCCCCTCAGTGTGCAGGAGCCTGGGAGGGGAGCTGACTTTCTGGCCTGCTGTTCCCAGACATCTGTGCTGGTGGTGCAGTTCATCGAGGCCATTGTGGTGCTGGTGCGACAGACATCCCATGTGCGGGTGACCCGAGCTCTGCGCTGTATTTTCCTGGTGGACTGTCGGTACTGTGGTGGTGTGCGGCGGTAAGGCCTGGGGCTCTGTGGGCCAGACAGTCCCCTATGGTGTTGCCTGACCCTCCAGACTGAACAAGGATGGGATGGGGGCGGGCAGGAGCTCAAACAACCAACCCCAACCCAATCCTGCACTTCATGGAGTGTAGGCATAGACTTCAAATTGCGGTGCATGGGCTGTACATGGTAGGCATTCTGGGAAGCAGCAGTTCTCACTCAGGGCCTAGGCCCTTCCCTGTCTCGTCATCTCTCTGGCCCTGCAGCAGCAGCCTGTGGCAGGCAGCTCAGCACAGTCCTCTGCCCCTTCTCCCCAAGCCTTAGCACTGAGCTCAGAGCTGACCAAGCCCTGAGGAGACTCTGTCCTGAGCTTAGCTCAAGGCCACACAATTGGCCTTCTGCCACACTTTCTGTTTCCACAATACCACCAGATGGAGGTGGCTATGTGTGCTGCACCTGCCTCAGTTGTCCCCATCACCTACTGAGTGGGGCCCTCAGGCACATTAGGAAGAAACTTAGGCCTGGGTGGGAATACAGTCATCCTGGAACAGTAGGACATAGTGTTCTATGACACATTCATTAAATCTATCTGCACTAGTATGTCCTGCCAAGGAGACATAGGCTGCCCCTCAGATACCCCTCAGTAGGCCTCCCCAGCTACTCCCAGGAGGCCCCAGAAGGCCCAGGCTGCCCCCTACCCCAAGCTGGTCCGTCTTTCTACCCAGTAACCTGCGGCAGATCTTCCAATCACTACCACCCTTCATGGACATCCTCCTGTTGCTGCTCTTCTTCATGATCATCTTTGCCATCCTCGGTGAGTGCCCTGCACCTGGTCAGGTGTCCAAACAAACACAGGCTAAGAAGGCTGCGTCCCTCAGGGCCACTGTAACTGTGCTGGAGGCTGGGTAGCTTAGAAACCATGACCATGCTGGTTCACAGTTCTGGCAGCTGCAAATCCAAGATCAAGGTAGGGGCAGATGGGTTGCATAGTGAGGTCATTTCTGGGCTGTTTTAGTACCTTCCTGAAAACTTCAAACCAGCATTTGAAATTGGGATTTTACAGATTCCCAACCCTTTTTAAAGAATTTACCTGGTGGAACCCAGGCACATCCCAGGTAGCAGTGGGCTTGTGCATAGCAGTATTCACGACCTTCAGATAGTGCCTATGTTCTCCAGGGCACTGCAGTCCCCATTAAACCCTATTGCCTTCCCCGGCCTCCCCACTCACCCTTATTCTTGGTCCCCTGAATATTGGAGCTCTGTTCTAACTCTGCTCTTGGTGTGTTTTCTCCTACCACATTCTAGGTTTCTACTTGTTCTCCCCTAACCCTTCTGATCCTGTAAGTAATCGGTGTCTTTGGCTCCTATTTCATGGGGAGACTTTAACGACAGGCTGGGTGACTGGGAGGACCCTGGCCATATTAGGAAGGGTGCCCTGTTTGGTTTCTGATACTCAAGAGTTCCTCTCCCTCAGACTCTGCATCACCTAATGACTGAGGATCCCCCTTTGCTACTTAAAAAATTTTTTTTTCTTCATTTTTTATTTTATGAGTGTTTTGCCTGCATGGATTTAAGTGCACCATGTGCATGTACTCAATGGAGATCAGATGAGGGCATCAGATGCCCCAGAACTGGAGTTAGGGATGGTTGTTAGTCACCATGTGGACGCTGGAAACAGAACCTGGGTTCCCTGCAAGAGCAGCTTAACCACTGAGCCATCTCTCCAGACCCTCCCCCTTTTTGCCATTCTTAAGGTTTGGAAGATTGGAACATTCTAGCAGAGAACAGTGGAGGGGAGCCAAGCTCACTACATGACCTTGTGAAACTGTTTGGAAAGTCCCACCCCACCCCCAGTCAGTAGCCTGCTTTTACCTAGCAAGGGCAGCAAGGGCCCACAAAAGCATGAGCTCCACGTGTGCTCTACCCATGCTCTGCTGTCCCTTGGTTCTTTTGGGGAAGGAGGGGGCATCCTGGAAGTGACTGTCAGACCACAAGCCATCAATGCATCCTGCCCCTTCCTTATAGTACTTCAGCACCTTGGAGAACAGCATCGTCAGTCTGTTTGTCCTTCTGACTACTGCCAAGTAAGTCTAGGTCTGCTCCACTGCTTCCTGTATCACTCAGCCATCACTGACCAGTCTCCTCTTTCAGCAAGTGTCCCCCTCATCTCAGCACACACAGGACCTGAGGGGAGGGAGGGGGTGGTTGGGATTGCAGAAGGCTGCCCCTCGCAAGATGTGTCTTTGGGGAGGTTGAGGCAGACTGCCCCACACATGACTCTCAACCCTCTGTCCCACAGCTTCCCGGATGTGATGATGCCCTCATACTCTCGGAACCCCTGGTCCTGCGTCTTCTTCATCGTATACCTCTCCATTGAGCTGTACTTCATCATGAACTTAGTGAGTTGCTGGCCTCAGCCCCACTAGCACCATCCCCTGGGGATGGAGATGTCAGGGCATCAGGAAGGGGCATCCTGGGTCCACAGTCTGTGTGGCGCCCTTTGCATGGCTGTGAGGATGGCAGTGATTCCTCTAACTTAGTGCTGTCACCACTGTCGATGATGCTGGATTTTAAGTGGAGACTGGCCTGGACTGCTCCCTCCTTGTAGTAAACATCACAGTGACTGTAAAGCTGGTACTGCTGGAGCCCAGCCAGGTAGTGTACAGAGTACTCCATACACACACACATGCAGTGGGGCAGCTCTGCCACTTGGGAGGGGAAGAAACAGAGTCAGACTGACAGGGACCCAGGTGCCCCTGACCACACAGCTCAGGGCAGCCTGTCCCACAGACTCCAGAGCCTGTCCTGACACTGCATCCTGTCACACTGTTATAGGACAGAGTTTGCAAACAAAATCACCAACACCACTTTAAGAAAAGTAGCAAGGTAAATTTTAATTTTTGACTGGCCGGGCTGTCTATCTCGGGAGTAGAAGCAGCCCTGACGACTGTCGGGTCAGAGTTTTTATAGGATTACAGAAATATTATTCAAACAGGACACTTGTGAACCAATCAGGTTTGTACAACATAGCAGAACTTTGACTCTATTAATCAACAACCAATCATTATACAGACAAGTGATACAGTCATATAACTTGGCAATCAGCTTTGTAATTTTAAAATTAGTCACCTTCCTAGCCACAACACGTACAGTAAGAAAGCTGAAATCAGCAGTTACCGGATGGTCAGACAATAACAGGGGGTCTTATGCCCTGTGTCAAGGTGACCCAAGATAGCAAGCGAATTACAGAAGCGAAAACAAGCAGTTAGCCAGATGTAAAATATCTGGAATTAGCACATTCCATGGTTCGTGGCTAGGACAATTTCCCAAGACCCAAGGTTGCCTCCCTTTTCCTTTTGGTGTGGAGCAAAGTTGCTGCTAAAATGGCTCTGAACAAAATGGAGTAACTTAGGTAAGTTTGCTGAGAAGTTCAACACCATGTGTCAGGAATATCATGGCATATTTCATTCTGTCCCATTAATCTCAAACCATGAGAAGAACACATTCTGTTAAGGACACAAAGCCCTGATGCACACTGCGTGCTGTGGGGATACTGGAGGAGGCTTGGCTGGCCAGCCAGCAGGAGCATCTTCTGGCATCATAGGTCATAGTCAACCCCAGGTTGTTAGGCCAGTGCCAAGACCCACAGCAATGCCAGAGTGAGCAGAGTGGGGCTTCCTATAGGGTCTTCTGGGTTTCGTGGTGCTAGGAGTTGAACCAAGATCTTTTCTGATGCTAACTAGGCTCTCCGTCACTAGACAGACTCCTAGCCCATGCATTTGCTTATAAACTTGAGTGGGGACAGGGTCTCATGCAACCCAGGCTGGCCTCTAGCTTGCTATGTAACTGAGGATGACCTTGAACTTCTGATCTTCCTGCTTTCGCTTCTTGAGTGCTGTGAGTACAGGCGTGCACCCACACCTAGTTTTATGTGGTACTAGGATTGAACCCAGGGACTCAAGCACATTAGGCAGGCACTCTAGCAACTAAGCCATACCCCCAGCCCTCATTTGTAAAATTTTTAAAAGCATCCTCACACCATGATCAGGCCCAGGATAGAAATATGAAATATTCTCTCTAATCTTGTGAGTCTAAAAATCTGAAGACTTAACAAAGAAAATTTCTATATATTTTTAATTCCTCAAAACCAAAACAAACAAACAAACAAAATACACTGGCTGCTTCCTGTTTTTTTTTAATTTGTAATGTGTTTAGAGGCATAAGCAGAACCCTTGCTTTTCTTCTGCTCTCTTACCACAGCCTCAGGAGACTTCAGAAACTCCCAGAAGGTGAGGGGGTTCACCCCACCAGCACACCAGCAGCACCTGAGTAGACACTGGCTGCTGTCCTCTATCCAGTTCAGTGGGACACTGTTGATGTAAAAGCACAACTCTTACCTCAAAGGGGGTCAGAGAGTTTATTGTGGAACTAAATATGAGTGACCATAGCCCAGGAACACAGACTCAGGTGACCCCAAATTCCGTGTTCCATGAAACTTGATAGTAACAGAGCAAAGAAAATCACAAATCAAGATGCTTCTTTTTTTTTTTTTGGTCTTTTTGAGACAGGGTCTCCCTGTAGCCCCAGCTGTCCTGGAACTCACTATGTAGACCAGGCTGGCCTTGAACTCACAGAGATCCACCTGCCTCTGCCTCCTACGAGTGCTGGGATTAAAGGCGTGTGCCACCACGCCCAGCTCAAGATGCTTTTTAAACACATTGGTGGAACCATCAGGGTAGGCAGGTTGCAGCAAAGTGGGGAAATCTCAGCCTCAGGTCTCAGGTGCTCTGACAACCTTTAGCCCATTGATTGGTGGAAGGATTTACCTAATGGTCATGAAGATGTTTGGTCATATACAGAGAGTAATAAGTGGCTATTAAGGGACCCAAGATAGCCCCGGATAATTTGTAATTAAGCTCTGGACCTGTAACATTCCAGCCTCTCCACAGTCATTGAAGTCCTAATCAGGCTGTGGTCACCTGGGTGTGCCTTCTTTCAAGTAGTTTTTGTCTATACCACTTAAAGACAGTGTCAGATCCCACTGGTTGAGGCTTAATCCCCAACTCCCAGTGGCAGTCATAAACCCCAGGTTGGGTACAGGTTTGCTTCTGGCTCACTGGCTATGAATCAGGGTTCCCCCAACCCCCTCCTTGGGTTCAAATAATTTGAGGGAAACATGTTTGTTGGCTTATTATAAAAGGTATTGTGGGCTGGGTGTGATGTCACACACCTTTAATCCAGCACTCTGGAGGCAGAGGCAGGCAGATCTTTGTGAGTTCAAGGCCAGTCTACATAGGGAGTGCCAGGCCAGCTGGGGCTACAGGAAGACCCTGTCTCAAAAATATCAAAAAATAAAAGATATTGCAAAGACTCCACATGAAGGGATGCATGAGCACGAGTGGAAAGCTTTCCTGTCCTTTCCACACAGCCCCATACAGGAGCCTCCCTGTGTGTAGCTCCCTGGAAGCTCCCTAAATCCTGTCCTTTAGGTTCTCACAGAGACTCCATTACATGGGCATGATCATGGACAGACATGTGAAAGCATGTGATGTAATACTGGAGGCCGAGTGCAAAGCCAGCAGGCCTGTCTGCTTCAGCATTTTTCCTCTGGGGTGGGGAGGGCCCCTCTGGCATGAGGTGGGGGTGTCTTGGGACTAGAACAAAGGAAGGTCTGAGAATTTCTGCATGGTCAGGCCAGGGAAGCCTGGGCACAGCTGGGCCTGGTGATGCATGTCTGCAACCCTCACACTCAGGAAGTAGAGACAGGAAGATGGTGAGCTCCAGACCAATCATGACTAATGAGTTCCAGGCTGGCCTTGGCTACACAGGAGACCCTGTGTCAAAAAGGAGGAGAGAGGGCCAGCAAGATGGTGCAGTGGGAAAATGCACTTGCTGCACAAGTCAGGTGATTTGGGTTAGAGTCCCCTGATACCAGGGTGGAAGGAGAAAACTGACTGCAGAGGGCTGTCTTCTGACCTCCACATTTGTGTACCGGACGTGCCTATTTGCGCACATACACATGCAAACACATCACAAATACATACATGCATAGACATCATACACACACACACATCACACACATCCATATAATAGTAATAGAATTTTAAAATTATTTTGGAAAACAGAAGAGAAAGGAAGGCAGAAGGAGATGATTTGTGCACCCTTTCTGGGGAGGGGAGTTCTGGTTTCTCTGCCTTGGGGATAGAGTTTTGAGCCAGGAACCATGGGTGAAAACCAAAAATGCGTATGTATCACATCACAGGCTATGACGGTCTCAGGCAGGGCTCAGCAAACATGAGCCTGTTGTCCAAATCTGCCCTGAGCCTGCTTGTGTAAATAAAGTTTTATTAGCATGCAATTATACCCATTTGTTTACTTAAGTCCATGACTGATTTCACTGTGTAACTGGTACAACCCCAGAGTTGAGTAATGTTGCAGCAGAGCCTCATTGGCCCTTACATCCTAAAATACTTGCTATGTGGCTCATGGTAGAAAAGGTTTGCTTACCTTTGAGTTACATAACAAAACACAGGCTACCAATTAAAAAGGTAGAAAGAACGTTAAAGTTTCTCTCAAAACATTTTGAAAGACTGTGTCCTTCAATCTTTCCTACCCTCCATTCCCCTCTGATGATACAGACCTTGTGTTAATAAGCTGACTTTGCTCCAAGGTAGTTCTAGAATGTTCCTTCCTTGAGTGCAGACCTCCTTTCCCCTGTTTCCGGAGCTTTGTGTGAAGCTGTGACTCACAAGAAAAGTAGCCTTGGCAGGAAGGGAGACTCTGAGGTCAAAGGTGTGCAGCCTCCTCCCCTGGCCTGTCTCATGAGCAGCCAGGGACTAGGTATGGCTGGACAGAAGAGCAGCCTGGGGGAAGTGGCAGTGTCTTCAGGAGAGGAATTTCCAAGCAGTAGCCATTGGTGCCTTCAGCTGTAGCAGCTGCTTGTGCGCTGAGTGCAGCCCACCCAAGGTTCTCTTCAACACCTCCCCTGGGTGACCGGATGAAAGCCCTTCCCTGGGTAGAGGGTGACCCCTCAGGCCAGCACAGAGGTCAGCCTTGCCTCCATGCTTCTCCACAGCTCCTGGCTGTGGTGTTTGACACCTTCAATGACATTGAGAAACGCAAGTTCAAGTCTTTGCTGTTGCATAAGCGGACCGCCATCCAACACGCCTACCGCCTGCTCGTCAGCCAGCGGGTAGGGGCTGGGTCACGGAGGGGCCCTTCATTCTCTGTCCCTTGACCAAAGCAGCCCTAATGTGGCAGGGCTGGTGACCCCTGAAACTGCCATCCTGCCCCTGGAGAAAGTACAGGTGTCCTGGAGTCTGGCACTGGACACTGAACTGACTTCCCCAGGGGTGGGGCTGTCTGGGTCTGAAATGGTCCTCTGTTCCACCCCGATGTCTTTTCCTCTCCTCCCAGAGGCCAGCTGGCATCTCTTACAGGCAGTTTGAAGGCTTGATGCGCTTCTATAAGCCCCGCATGAATGCCCGGGAACGCTTCCTGACCTTTAAGGCCCTGAATCAGAGCAACAAGCCTCTACTCAGGTAAGATCGTGTGCCGGGGGAGAGGGGGAAGAGTATGGACAGATCCCTTAGTGTAGAAAGCTAAGTATCAGTAGGTGGGATTGCAGAGTGACTTGTGGGAGATGTAGTTTTCACTACAAAACCCTCACAGGTTGTATTCTTCAGGAACCTCTGCAGGCCACAGAAGCCCAACTCTACTCCATTTCAGACTGGCTTGATCAAAGAGGAATGTTTGAGGCCTGGTAGAGTGGTACATACCCTGAACCCAGCACTTGGGAGCCCAAGGCAGGAAGATCAGGAGTTCAAGACCAACCTTAGCTACATAGCCAGTTTAAGGCTATCTCAGACCTTGTCTCTTAAAAAAAAAAAAAAAAAAAAAAAAATACATGACCAGGCGTGGTGGCGCCTTTAATCCCAACACTCAGGAGGCAGAGGCAGGTAGCTCTCTGTGAGTTCAGGCCAGCCTGGTCTATATCGTGAATTCCGGTCAGCTGGGACTACAGGGAGACCCAAATAAAGACCAAATTAATTAATATAAAAAGAATTAAAACAAAACAAAACAAAACAATGCAGGCTGGCAAGATGACTCATCAGGTAAAGGGGCTTGCTGCCAAGCCTGATGACCTGAGTTTAATCCCTGGGGACCCACATGTTGGAAGGAGAGAATCAACTCCTGAAAGTTGTCCTCTGACCTACATGTATGCATGGCCTGTCCCCCATAACTAAATAAATAAATGTAATAAATTTTAAAACTACAGCTATGAAAAGCCCGCGTTTAGTAGCTCATGCCTGTGATCCCATCAGTCGGAAAGCTAAAGCAGGATTGCTGCAAGTTCTAGGCCAGCCTGGGTTACAAAAGTAAGATCCCTATGTCTGAAAATAAAAGGAATAGCATGGTTTATGAAATGGAACAGCCCAACTATTCACCCTGAAGGCCCAGGTGGTCAGAGAGGGTGGACATACATGTATGTACACAGGTATATACAAACCTATACACACTTATACATACAACCAACTCAGCTTGCAAGGGCTGAGCCTGAGATTTCTAGTTTGAGTGTTAGCCCTGGGACTGGTGAGCCCTGGAACCCTGTCTACTCAGTCAGGTGCTGCCTGCTGTGACTGAGGCCCAGTGAGCTCTATTTGGGATGAACTCACCCCCTTTGCTTGTCCCCAAAACCCTCTGCTAAAAGAGGCTGTGTCTGCCCCCTAAGAATGATAGTGTTCCAGGGCTGTCTGTCCAGGGGAAAAAATGGTCAGTTGTGTGGACTAAGCAGATTAAGTCACCCAGGACCTGGAGGATAGGCAGTCAGGACACTGCAGGTTAGGCCTCCTTGCTGAGTGCTGGGCCCTCCAAGATGTCCCTCTTCCTATAAGAGATGACTGTAGACAAGCATGGGGGCCAAGGCTTAGAGACATGTGTGGTGACTGCCTTTTCACTTTGCTCTTGACAGCCTGAAGGACTTCTATGATATCTACGAAATCGCTGCCCTGAAGTGGAAGGTGAGTGCCCTATGCAGCAACCCAGAGGCCCAGCTCAGTGGGGCCCAGGTTTCTGAGTGACACCAGAGGCCCAGTGAGCTGCAGTGTTGTGGTTAAGACCCCATGAGTTAGATTATGACACATGGCAGGTAACTAACCTTCCAAAGCTCACCTGGGACATGGGAGAATGGTCATTCCCTGCCCAAAGAAACGGACTGTTCACAAATGAGGCGTATGCTCAGTCAGTCCTGGCCGTCCATGTTGTCACCAGATCCCTGAATGTCTCAGTGTAGTTTCCAATATAGCAGGGTGACCTAGGGGGGAAGCAGTACCCTGCGCTGGGCTATGTTCTAGTCTGTGGCCCTGACCCCCTGCCTCCCATGGGCCCCCTGCTTCCCATGGATCCCCTGTCTCCCATGGGCTCCTTGCCTCCTGTTGGTCCTCTGCCTCCCATGGGCCCCCTGCCTCCCATGGGTCCCTTGCCTCCCATGGATCCCCTCTCTCCCATGGGCTCCTTGCCTCCCATGGGCCCCCTGCCTCCCATGGGCCCCCCTGCCTTGTAGGCAAAGAAGAACAGAGAGCACTGGTTTGATGAACTTCCCCGGACAGCCTTCCTCATCTTCAAAGGTGAGCAGTCGTGTGTGAAAACGGAGTAATTGAGCAGGGAAATAAGCAATGGGATGTGGGCCAGGCAGTATCCTGCTCCATAATTCCAAAACCAGGGTCCATAATCTCAACACTCAAGAGGCTGAGACAGGAGGAGGCAAGTTTGAGATCATTCAGGACTCTGTAGCAAGATCCTGTCTCCATGAAAAAAAGAAAAAGAATTTTTTAAAAAATGTTTTATTATTTTATATATATGAGTGTTATGCCTACATGTAGGTAAGTGCACCCATGTCATGCAATGCCCGCGGAGGACAGAAGAGGCTGTCGGATCCTCTGGGACTGGAGTTACAAACAGTTGTTAGCACCGTGTGGATGCTGGGATTCGAACCCGGGTCTTCTGCAAGAACAATCAGTGTTCTTAACCACTGAACCATCTCTCCAGCCCCAAGAAAAAGAATTTAACACTTACGTCCTTTATTACGTTCAAGGCCAGTTATGAAAGGCCACATGGGGTGTGCTTAGCCCACAGGAGTTTTTTGTGTAGAAGCTTGGAGTGACGACAGTATGTTCTGTCATGTGATTGTCCCATAGATGCCCCTTGGGCACCACTACTCTTCCAGATTCTTTGGGATTTTTCACTCCACTGGGACACTAGTTACTCAGGCCAGACAAGCTGCGATGTAAGTTTGAACAGTGATCAGCAGACTTTGCTCCCTGTTGTGAGGTGCCCAGGCTCTCCCCAGAGCAGCTGTGGCCAGTGTGCCTCTTCTGAGAGCAAAGTAGGGGTGTCTCCCTCAGGCAGGCCCTTTGGACCCCACCCTTGGCATCTCACCTGGCTTCTCAGGTGCAGGAGTCTACACATGCTCTAATGTTAACATTTCTTCTCTAATAGGAATCAATATCCTTGTGAAGTCCAAGGCCTTCCAGTATTTCATGTGTAAGTGTGAACAGTCTTGGCTTTGGGCTCCTTTCCTCCTCAGTCCTGTGTTCTTCTTGAAGGTGGAGAGGCAAGAGATCAGAAAATGTGGATGGGGGTGTGACTCGGGTAGTTATGTAGCTTGAAAGAGGTGCAAGGTTATACACATACAACTCTCTCTCTCTCTCTCTCTCTCTCTCTCTCTCACTCTCTATCTAGCGCTCTCTCTAGAGGCAGAGTGATTGTGACACCCCTTGTGCCCGGCA